TGGTATTTGAAAAGTATACACTGAAACAAACTGCAACTTAAAGATATGCGATATTGAAATGTTGTATATCAGCAAATATTGATGCACACAACGATGATAATGATCACATTTGATAAAATGATGAGTTTTTTCAAAAGTACCATTATTCAATTATCAAAATTTATGGGTTTATTAACGATACATATCACAATAACAACGAATACTCTTCGAAATATTAAATTATATAATATCTAAACTTTTCACCATTATTAAAAAAAGAAATAAATGATTTATGATAGTTAGTATTTTTAGAACAAGAGAATATTAAAACATATCATTTGAGAAGATTATATATAACTTACAAATTTTCTACTTATGAATGATTACTTCTACAAATTTTGTAATTAGCTCTATAAATATCGCAAGCCCGCGTTTGGCGCGGGTCCTCACCTAGTATAAATTTTTTTTGGATTCCAATACAAAAATTAATTATAAGACATTTATTAAAAAAGTTAAACGCTAAAGATTAAAATTGATTTATTCTTATTATTCAGACATATAGATATGGAGTGTTTTAATAGTATCGATGATTTTTGCTTAGGAGATGTAAAAAGCAAAAAAAAAAATTTAATATGCATATTTTTAATCAAAACATCAAATAGAGGGAGTATAACTTTTCATGAATCTCAATTAACTCGGTTCCCATCAAGTTTGGCCGGTACCATTTTTCGGCATTAAAAATGTTATGACTGTCTTTGGTTTACAAAGAAATCGGATGGACTTCAGAATGATTTTAGTTTTTATTTTGTTTTTATGTTTACCCCTCTTTAAGATGATAGTGCATGAACTACATTGTAACTCTAGACCATGACTTCAAAAGTCAATGGAAATGTGACGTGATGACTATACCATAACATATGTTTGTTTGCTTGATGCATGACTGTAGTCAAATACGGCTCTAAGTGTGGAGCAAGAGAAGAAGCTAAAAGAGATGGGAGCGACGATGAAGAACGGTGGATCGTTTACGCAAAAACCTAAGCTTGATGAGGCGAAGCAGAGGAAAGCGATGAGCATAATGAATAAAATGAACGTTGAACGACTCTCTGAGCTCATTGCTTTCTATCAATTAATGGGAAAGATATCTAGTGAGGTGTTGGACAGAAAGCTTCATGGCTCAGTCAATGACCCCAATCTCGTCTCTCAAAGACGTCACCATGTGATGATGATGAATAATGTTTAAATATTTAATGATGTTCAAAGTTACTTTGTGCATTTGAGAAGAAATTAGTAAGGTTTCTGTCGGTAGGCAAGATACGGTTTGCCAAGAAAGGTAGGCTAATGCCTCATTTACTTGTTTGCATTTGAGTTTATGTACGTTTGGTGTGTGTTTTCTCTAAATGAATTTGTTATTGTTGTCATTTTAAACAAAAAAAAAAAGAAGAAGAGGAGAATTCAAGCATAAACACCAAACACAGTGTTAAATTGCAAATGGAAATGTAAAACCTAGTGTTGAAATTAATCTAAGTGTAATCGTGGGACTGAGTAGTCAATGGTCTAGGGATTTTGAGAGTATTTAAGTCGCTAGTTTAATCATATCTAATAAGAGTGATTTACGAGTTAAACACGATATTATCTAACAAATTCCGGACAACAACACAAAATGTTATGGTCCTTAGAGCAGGTACATCAGCGGTTCAAGCTGAGTATCAGGCCCAAAATCCAAGACGAAATCCACAAAAAAATGGCCCATTTTTAACGAGCCCGTATCGTCCGGACGAACCTGATGATACCGGATCGTCGTGACGTGGCGACACGTATATGGCTGGAAAAAAGAGAACAATTTCGGGGCCCAAAAAAATTGAACCCATTTTCATTTCTCTTTTTTCTCTTCTTCTCCTCGAAAACCCTAGGCGATCTGGAGGCGATTTCGTGGTGGCCGGCGATGACGCGAAAACAACCGGTGAAAAGGTCTTCCCATCGTCGACCATCCATACGTAGCATCCAGGTTAGTCTTCATCGTCCTTTTCGTGCTTGATTTGAAATCGAATCGTCATTTTTAGGGTTTGCGATTTGGAGAAAAAATTTTAAGGTTTTTTTTGGGAATTTTATTTGGGGAAATTTGATGAGATTGTTTGTGTCTACTTGTGGTTTGTATGTTTTGTTGTGTACGAATTGAAATTGTTGTGAATTTGGTTTTGATTGTATTCGATAAAATTAGGGTTTCGAATTTGGGGAAAAATTTTGGGGGTTTTTATCGGGGTTAAAATTGGGGCTTAGGGTTACAGTATTACATACGGTGGTCTATTTTGAATCCAATTGCGAGTGATTGTTGATTGAGTAATTTCAATTTGGATCAAATTAGGGTTTTCGATTTGGGAGATTTTCGAAAATGGGGATAATTTGGGGGGTTTTTAGGGAGGTCTAATTTGCTTAATATATCTGCATATGCTGATGACGATGATGATGAAATGTAGATGATTACTCGATAAGAATTTCAAGTTTAACGTTTAATGTCAATGATGAAATGCTAGACTAGATGATGTAATTTTGATGATGGTTTTGTTGAAGGATTGTGGTCGTTGTTTAGTTGCCATATTGAAATGTTGATTATGATGTTGATAATGCTCACTATCTTTTATTTTTTTTGTGAGGGTATTTGATGGAGCATCGGGTACATGCTTATGGTGTCTCCGAATACAGGTCAGTAACTAACTCTACTTTAATAAAAATGCCTCGTTTGGTTTAGATCTCTGGTTTGTTTGAATGGTTTAGTTGATTTGTATTGTTACCTGTTTAGGTTGCTAGTTTTCTTGTTGGTCGGTTATGTGTCTTGAAAAAGGTTTTCTTTGTATTGATAACTGGTTAGGTAGTTCGTTTGGTTTAGTATCGTTTAGGTGAAATGATGAATGGATCTTCAATTGATATGACTTGTTAGGTGTGATAAATGCCACTTAAAAGACTAAACTAAAAGACTTTAAAGAAAACATCTTTCATTCATAAATTTTAGAAGACTTAAAGACTCAACCATAATTCTTAACAGCCTTAAATACACTAACATACTCAAAGACTTAAAGACAAACCTTAAAAGACTTTAAATTCTCAACCATAAAAGACTCTTCTTCCTCTTTCTATAAACCCGTTTTAGTAAGTACTTATTTACGTAAAGACTCTTCTTCATCTTCCATATTTCTTCTTTCATTTTCCATATTCCTTGTTTCATCTTCCATATTTCTTCTTTCATTTTCCATATTTCTTCTTTCATCTTCCATATTCCTTGTTTCATCTTCCATTTTTCTTCTTTCAAATTCCATCTTTCTTTTTTCATCTTCATGGATTCTCAAAACGCTTTCTCTCAGTCCGAAGGATTCGTTAACCTTCTAACTAGTCAGATACCTCCTGACAATTACTCGCCTTGTATTGAACTTGGATCATCAGACTTTCCTGTGTTTAGTACACAAGGATCTGATGAACCTACGGTTAGTAAAGTCAGAAAGCAATGGACTCCAAAGGAAGACCTCGTCCTCATAAGCGCATGGCTCAATACGAGCAAGGATCCTATTGTGGGGAACGAACAACGGGCTGGTGCATTCTGGCAGAGGATTGAAGTCTATTATAATGGAAGTGATGACCTGATCGGACTACCAAGACGAGGCCAGTCTCAGTGTAAGCAGCGATGGGGTCGTCTCAACGACCAGGTCTGCAAATTCGTTGGTGCATACGAGGCTGCACAAAAGCAGAGGACAAGCGGCCAAAACGAAAACGACGTCATGAAGGCAGCCCATGAGATATTCTTCAATGATTATCTCATCAATTTCACCCTCGAGCATGCATGGAGGGAGCTCAGGCATGACCAAAAATGGTGCAGCAGCTTCTATCCTGCTTCTAAGGATGGTGAGAAGGCCAAAAGAAGAAAAGTTGAAGACTCGGCTAACTCCTCCAGCTCAGTACATGAAAGAGTTGCCGATGATGTCTTCATTGAGGCTCGGCCACCTGGTGTCAAGGCGTCCAAGGCAAAAGCAAAAAAGTCAGCCGGAGGGAAGGAGGTGAAGGACTTCACAAGTGTGTGGGAAATCAAACAACGAGACTTGGAACTGAAAAACAAGATTACTGACAAAAGACTTCTTGAAAAACTGTTAGCTAAGACAGAGCCACTCAATGAGAATGAAATGCTTCTTAAAAACAAGATAATTAATGATTTGCTTAAGTGATGTATGAACTTTTTTTTAAAGTTGGGAATTTGGTACTTTGGTACTTTGTTAAATGTAACGGTGTTGCAAATTTCAATATATTAATCAACTTTAAGTTTAGTGCATCGCCTTGTTTCTCTTTATCATTTGCTCGTCTGAATCACTTGTCAACTTGCTGGTGTATCTTTTTGGTTTTGCAGGGTAGTCACGGGGAAGCACTTGGCCACTAGATAGATGCGTCCAAGAACTGGGTCCATGTCGTTTTTTGTTGTTTTCTCTGCTACACCATTCATTTTTCTAGTGTAATGTACACCTATTGTTAGTGATATCTTTGTAAGCCACATATTCTTCTTTTCTTTGTTGTATAAATGTATTGTGTGTGATGAACATCTATTCAATCTCAGTTGATATGTATTTCTTTTACAAACTTTTCTCTCAAAACATAAACCAAGATATCTTTCTTTCTTTTACAAACTTTTCTCTATCTCTTTTACAATCGTTTCTCCATCTCTTTTACAAACGTTTCTCCATCTCCTTTACAAACGTTTCTTTTACAAAAAAAATTGTATGGCATCATCATCAAATAATGGGCCATATGATGGGCCATATGATGATTCAATCGATGATGTTTTTGATGATTCCGATGATGATTTACTTGATCAACAATTTGATGAAATGTTTTATGCAGCACTTGATAGTCTTGCAAGAAAAAAAAACAAAAAAAAGAGAGCATACATTGAAAGAGAGCGGGAACAAGGTCATCACCGGCTCTCGAACGACTACTTTAGTGATGATGCAATCTATCCGTCAAATCTATTCCATCGCCGGTTTAGAATGAACAAGGAGTTGTTCCTTCGTATAGTTGACCGCCTCTCCAATGAGATTCCGTATTTTCAGCAAAGAAGAAATGCTGCCGGGAGATTTGGTCTATCTAGCCTTCAGAAGTGTACTGCAGCTATTCGTATGATGGCTTATGGTACGGCAGCTGATGCGGTTGACGAATATCTCCGGCTAGGTGCTAGTACGGCTTTGTTATGCTTGGAAAATTTCACGGAGGGAATAATAAACTTGTTCGGGGATGAGTACCTCAGAAGACCCACACCACAAGATCTCCAACAACTCCTCGATATTGGAGAGTCACGGGGATTTCCCGGAATGATAGGAAGCATCGACTGTATGCACTGGGAGTGGAAGAATTTTCCAACCGCATGGAAAGGACAATACACACGTGGTTCCGGCAAACCGACAATCGTCTTAGAGGCAGCTTCATATGACTTGTGGATATGGCATGCATTTTTTGGATCTCCAGGTACGTTAAATGATATTAACTGTTGGAGGTGAAAACCGCACCCCGGTTTTCTCCGGTACAAACTGAGATCGGCGAACCGTAAGCCCGGTTTACGAAGGGATGTACCGAGAGAAGATGGGCCGAGCGAAGATGGGCCGAAGATAGCCCATTAGACCGAGGTCGGTGGGAAACCTCTCAAAGGAATAGAAGGTTTCCTCGAGCTCGGCCGAAACAGGAAAGTTTCCTGAAGGAAAAAGGAAACTTTGGAGAGAAAAGGAAAGGAACCGAGAGAAAAGGAAACTCCTCTCGGTCCCATATCGTCTAAGGTGCGCTTGAAGACCGACTTATGAGATATATATAAAGGGAGACGAATCGACATCAGAAAGAGGGGATTCCCAAGAAAACTGAAAGACTGAGAACTCGTTACGACAGCTTCTTAGTCGCATTAAGTCTTAGTTCGTTATTGCCTATTGAAATAACCGAACTCAGTTGTATTTCACTTGATTCAATCTAATAAAACCAAGCTTCCGATCTAAATTACTGTTTTGTCCCTTGTCGATATTCACATATCAACAATTGGCGCGCCAGGTAGGGGGGCTTTAAACAGATATCTCAGATTTTTGATCGGACTTCGGAAAGATTGAATCAGTGATGGCAGACCAATCCGACGTTCACGAAGAAGAAAACCCTTTCAGGGAAAATAACATCAACGCCCAAACAGGACAAACGGGAGGAACTCCTGGAGAAAACACCGGAACTGCTGCCGAGCAAACTCCCGCAGCCGTAACCGACCTGTTACTCCAAATGTTCACTGCTCAGTTCGAAGCCATCAACAAAAGGAGCGAGAAACGTTTCAGTCAGATGGCGGCACAGATCGCCGAACTCAGTCAGACACGAACTCCTCTCCGAGTTCGGAACATCATTGAAGATCTCAATGCCGACAGAGATCCAACCGGAACTATGAGGTCTGCCGCGGTCGGGTCAGCAAACCCACCAGCACCAGATTCAAGCCGAGACACCGAGTTTGAAGCGATGAAAGCACAGCTTCGCGATATCACCTCAAAAATACATCAAGCCACAAGCGCGGCTCCGGAGATCGAGCGCGTCATTCAGGAAACACAGAAGACTCCTTTCACATCGCGCATCGCAGGGACGCCGGTCAAGCACATGGAGAAACTGAAGATGAAAATCTACGAGGGCAACTCTGACCCTCGACACTTCCTGACATCGTTCGGCATCTGCATGAACCGATACCAGTTTAAGTCTGCCGAAGAAAGAGACGCGGTTCAATGCCAACTATTTGTGGAAAGTCTGGGAGGAGTAGCTCTCGACTGGTTCTCACGGCTCGAAGCCAATTCAATCGACAGCTACAAAGAGTTAACGACAGCCTTCGTCAAGCACTTCTCCATGTTCATTGGACAGAATACCAAGAACTCCGAGCTCTGGCAAATAGCTCAAGGACCAAGCGAGAGCCTTCGCGACTTCATCCAGCGCTTCAAGGAAATCGTCGCCAACTGCACGATTAGCGACGAAGCCGCTCTCTTATGCCTTCAGAAAGGAGCTCGGATAAAGACCAGTTTCCGAAGCGCGATCACGCACAACCCACCGCAGACGTTAGAAGATGCATTACACCGAGCTAATACTTACATTGCTGAAGAAGAAGAAGAAGCTGCGTACGAGCAAAGTCACTCAACAAAACAACCCGAACGTCTGAAACCCGTGACTAACGAGCCGCAGTCGGGATACGGTCGAGGATACGAGAACCGCGGAAACTCTATGCTAACGCAATCCAACAACCAAGCAAGCAGTGGAATAATAAATGGGTCCGCGGTGAAGAAGACCAAGACGAGTCGTTATTCTGCGAATTCCATAACCGTAGGGGCCACAGCACCGAAGAATGCAGGCATTTGCGAGAATATATACTCGGCCTGTATCGCAAGGAGCCGATCTCGGTCGACGAACTCCGACGCTCAAATACACCTAAGAGCGGTGGGCAACTCTCGATGCCCCGACCGAACAACGAACATCTCGAGAAAGCACTTGCCAAAGATCCACCAACTCCACCGGCTTTACCGACACTACCACCACCGCCACCGAATCCGCCTGCTTTGCCCGAGCAACAGAAACGGAATCGCGATGACCGAGCTCCGGAGAATCGTGCTCCTAAGGCGCGAAAACGTGTCAACATGATAATGGGGGCCATCGAAGCTTGCAGTTATTCCGTTCGAGCCATCAAAGAATACAGCAAACAAGCCGCTAGCACACCAAAAACCCCACAGGATCCTCTGAAGGGAGCGCCCTTGGTCTTTACCGAGGCTGACACAATCGGAATTCACAAGCCGCATAATGACGCTCTCGTTGTCGATCTACTCCTCGACGACGTCGAAGTAAGCCACATTCTGATCGATACTGGCAGTTCGGTCAACGTTATCTTCAAGGAAGCACTTGACCAGCTCGAGTTGGCGTCAGATAGGATTGATCCGTTCATCGAGCCACTTACCGGATTTGATGGAGAGCGTTGTATGACGATCGGCACTGTCAAAATCCCAATCTACGTCGGCGGAATCGCAAAGATGATCCAGTTCCTTATCCTCGACAAACCGGCGATCTACAACGCTATTCTCGGTACGCCTTGGCTGCACGCAATGAAAGCGGTCGCCTCGACGTACCATCAATGCTTGAAGTTCCCGACCCCCGACGGTGTGTACACACTCCGAGGAGACCAAGCCGTTGCTCGATCGTGCTACATAAATGAGTGCAGACTCCACTCGGCCAACCAAGCTTGCGTCATTAGTTCGTTCGGGCCAACTGACAAGCTCATCGTCCAAAAGACAAAGCCTAAGCAGGAATCAATCGTTCAAGTTAGCATTGACGAACTCAGGCCAGAGCGTCAAGTTGGAATTGGTGCCGAGCTCGACCCAGTCATCCGTGAACCACTCATTCATTTCCTGAAACAGCATACCTCAACCTTCGCTTGGTCGGTAGAAGACATGCCCGGGATTGACCCGCAGATCGCGTGCCACGAGCTCAATATCGATCCGACATACAAGCCTATCAAACAGAAACGCCGAAAGCTTGGGCCAGAGAAAGCGCAAGCCGTGAATGACGAGGTCGAGCGCTTACTCAAAGCTGGATCTATCACCGAAGTTAAGTATCCAGATTGGTTGGCAAACCCTGTGGTAGTGAAAAAGAAGAATGGTAAATGGAGAATTTGCGTCGACTTCACCGACCTCAATAAAGCGTGCCCGAAAGATAGCTTTCCGTTACCTCATATCGATCGCCTTGTGGAAGCAACTGCCGGAAACGAACTACTCTCATTCATGGATGCGTTCTCCGGGTACAATCAAATTCTCATGCATCCGCAGGACCGAGAGAAGACATCCTTCATCACGGACCGTGGCATCTATTGCTACAAGGTCATGCCATTCGGCCTGAAGAATGCTGGAGCAACGTACCAACGACTGGTAAACCGGATGTTCGCGAGCCAGCTCGGACGAACTATGGAAGTCTACATCGACGATATGCTCGTGAAGTCACTCATCGCTTCCGAGCACGTCGGCCATCTTCGCACATGCTTTGATATCTTGAATCAATATGGTATGAAGCTTAATCCAACTAAGTGTACGTTCGGCGTAACATCTGGAGAATTCCTCGGATATATCGTCACACGGCGAGGCATCGAAGCTAATCCGAAGCAAATCGCCGCTATTCTCGAGCTCCCCTCGCCGACAACCAAACGCAAAATTCAGCGACTTACCGGACGTATTGCAGCGCTTAACAGATTCATATCTAGATCAACGGACAAGTGCTTGCCCTTTTACCAACTTCTCCGCGGTAACAAGCACCTCGAATGGAACGAGAAGTGTGAAGAAGCCTTCGCCGAGCTAAAGGAATATCTGTCCACTCCGCCAGTCCTGTCCAAACCAGAAACCGGCGAGACACTTTATCTTTACATCGCGATTTCGGAGTTCGCAGTTAGCAGCGTTCTTGTTCGAGAAGATCGCGGCGAACAAAAACCAATTTTCTACACGAGCAAGTCCCTCGACGGATCGGAGTATCGTTATCCGACTTTGGAGAAGTTCGCCTTCGCCGTGGTTATTTCTGCACGGAAACTGCGCCCGTACTTCCAGTCTCATGCAATCGTAGTCTTGACCGATCACCCTCTTCGCACTTTCCTTCACAGCCCAAGTCAGTCCGGACGACTCGCTAAGTGGGCTATCGAACTTAGTGAATATGACATCGAATACCGGAACAGAACGGCAACGAAGTCTCAGGTCCTAGCAGATTTCTTGGTCAAACTCCCACCGGAGCTCGTCGAAGACAATCCGGTCGTACAACCTTGGATTCTTCACGCCGATGGTTCATCATCCCATAAAGGATCCGGAGTTGGAATACGTCTCAAGTCACCCGAAGGAGAAGTAATCGAGCAGTCATTTCGGCTCGGCTTCCCAGCATCCAACAACGACGCCGAGTACGAAGCATTGATTTCCGGACTACGACTCGCTAAAGGTATCGGCGCCGAGCACGTACACGCCTATTGCGATTCTCAACTCGTAGCCAACCAGTTTCACGGTGAATACGAGGCCAAGAACAACCGCATGGACGCATATCTCAAAGTTCTTAAAGATATTGCTTCCGAGTTCTACACCTTCGAGCTTACAAAGATACCTCGAGACGAGAATGCAACCGCCGACGCCTTAGCCGCACTCGCGACTAATTCCGATCCTGATCTTCGGCGAACTATCCCGATTGCAGCAATCGAGCGACCAAGTATCGAGCACCATCCGAGCTGCAATATCATTACAAGACGGCGTGACTACGAAGCCCAGCCAAACCGTGCTCCACCCCTCACCCGAAAGACGAAACCTAAAGAGGTCATCCCCGATCGCGACAACGATACAGACGAGCTTAACGATAACGAGCCCGAATCCGAGGACGAGTCCGAAGGCCAGCACGTCCCCATCGATATTGAAGCCGAAGGAGAAGACAAACCCGAGGATTGGACCTTAGAAATCGTGGAATACATCGGAGATGGAACGGTTCCAGCAGATAA